TATATCTTTGGGTGGATGAACAATGCACTGGTTTTGGAAGGCTGTTGTGAGTCACATCAATCACCAGACACCGCTGCCTGGAAGGAAGTCTCTTTCAGGTGCTCTGCACAGTTAAGCTCCATGGTTTTAGCCAGATCAACAAATGAGATAAGGGTAGGGCTGCAACCTCAAGATCCACTCCCCTTTGGAGAGATGAGGAACATAAAACCTCCCACCAAATAAGCAGGTAAAATGACTGTGTAAAGGGCAACTATTGCAGGATTTGAGGGGAGTCATGTACAGTGTTCACATTGTGTAGTTCTGGCTTTTATAAAAGATGAGTAGTCTGTATCTAAAGAAGGAGCTGTCTAGCACTTCCTAAGCAGGTGCTGAAATAAATGTGACCAGTCAGCAAGGTTGTTTTTTTGGTGGTACAATTTAATATTATTTAATCTTCAAATTCTGTGGGGTAGACCTCAAGGTAGCACTGTCTACATGGCTTATGCTAGCATTCATTGTTCCCTAATTGAGAGGAGTCATGCCAGACTGGTTCTCATTTCCTCCTGCAGAAGACCACAGATCTGTGCTTTGAACTTGCGAGATCCAAGATTAACTGGTGTCATCTTTGTCCTCCTACTTCATTTGGGAGTGGGAATAGGGAATACCAGTGGTCAGCTGTCAACCTCTTTCTGTTTTAGGGTGCAGTGAGTAGAGGGCAGGCTTTGCACGGCAAACTTGAGGAGCTGGTGTCCCTCTGGAAAACTGGCAAATCTCACTCCTGCTACATGCTGAGCAAACCTTGTGAATAGACATCACCTGAAACTTGTCAGTCTCTCCAGGAGATGGTGAGGGATTTACAAGATAGATATTTGTCCTCCTCAGCACAAGCATCTTTAACCCAGTTACAAGGAGCCAGGCAAGCAGCAGCAGGACACCACTGATTTCAGTCAACCTGCCCCAGCTGAGAATCTGACTCTCCCATGTGCTAGTTAGATGAGGGAAGTGCATCAGCCCATGTCTGGACTAGTTCAGGTTTCTTCTCAAATGTAATTTTAGATCTCCTCTGCTATCATTTATTCAACAATGTGAATAAGATATAGGTATGTTCCATCCAATCACCTTCATTGATTGCCTTCTTTTGCTTCTTTGTAATTTGCTTTTTCTTTCTAGAGTGTCTCACCAGCACATTACCAATCTGTGTCAACACAGGGAAGGAGAAAAAATGCATTGAATCTAAAAAAAAATTTAAAACATTATTTTCTGAACTACATTTCCTGTATTTCTTCATGTTAGTCATTTGCTGAAGTTTATAGTTTTATCTATGCATAACTAGTTGCAACTCTGCTGTTGCAATCTGCACCACACTATTTTAACAAGAATAGAAAAATGTAGCCAGCCTGAAACTGATCTTGGGTAATCTCTAGCAAAATCTGATATTCCACTATGTAGCAAGAGCTTGCTTTCATTTTTGGTCTGCCACGTGTGTAATGCTTGTGCACCTTTTTATTTTAGTTTTTCCAATATACAATTGGCTTGGCAGCAAAATAAGTGATATTCTTTAAATACTGTGTGAGTTCCATATATCCCAGGTATTTAAAGTAGGGAATGTTAAATGAAAATACATGTGAAGAACTGTCCCTGTGAGAAGGGTCTGAACTAGAACATCAGTTCTATCTAGACTGCTGGTTCAGTCTTCACTTCACTCCAGGATGTGATGTATCTGTGATTACTGCCCCTGTGCGTTTCCCATTGCTGCCACTTGCATGCAGTCAGCAAACAAGCAAAACAACATGCAAATAGATTATGTTCTTATGTAATACCAGAACAAAAACCAAAGACACCAGGCCCCACAGAAACCATACATGCTGTGAAAATGAAAGCAGCTTTTGAAATACTGGGCAGATTAACATTTTATCTTCATGTACTAGAGCATCATGCCCTCAGGGCCTCATTTTGTAACTTGCAACAACAACTGTGAGATGAAGGGATAAAGCAGCACATAAGCATTCAGTGTAATTAGTTTGTATAGGGTACAGTGGGACATAAAAGGTTGATCATCACAGTTGGGCTGGGAGTTACATGCCACATTGTAGAAAGTTTTCTTCCATTCTCCTGAGAAAACTGCCACCAGATCCAACAGGCATGTTTCAGAGAGTACCTCACTCTCCAAAAATCAGATCTAGTACAAAGCTAGTACTTTTTCAACTTTTGTTTTTTTTTCTTTTTCTTTTTTCCCCTCCAAATACCACAGAAGTCTATTAAAAATTATACCATCACAATTGCCAGGACCCCACAGAACCCTGCTGGAGATGCCTCCCATCGGGTATAACAGGAATTACTTTTATTCATTTTACCATGTCACCAGAAAGATGTGTTGATGGTGCAGCTGGCAAAATGCACTATGTGACTATCTACTCTGCAGGTCTCCTGCAGACAGGTACGCCTACTGTCTGCTCTCACATGAAGTGATTCTGTCACTGGGAAGTTCTGGGTGCCCTGCTTCAGGAGAGGCAGCTTGGGTCAAGCCCAGGTATCCAGCCCACCTGGACATATTCCAGCTACTTCTGAACGAGTAAAAAAACAGGTTAATTGTCCCATTTCAGTTAGGATATTTTGATGCAATAGATTTATCCTTTCTTTTTTTTTTTTCTTAGTTTGTTTCAGTGAAAGCTAATTCTAGGTGTCTACCCCTAGGCCTAGAACAGCTTGAATTTTGGACATCAATACACTCAAAGAAAATGAAAAGTTTGTCATATGTAGAAAACCATCTGTGTTAGCTTGCCAAACAAAACCAGTGAGAACTGGGATTCTGACCCTGAATTAAGTAGATTAATCATACTGCTATCATGGGGCATCTGTGAGACAGGGAGGATGCTGATGTGGTTTGTTATAACCCATGGCAGATGAGGCAGAGGCATGTTTGCAAGACAGCTTTGCGGGGAGGGACAGAGTCAGTGTCAATATAATCTACTCAGAATGGCTCACATTGGCCTTTAGAAAAACTGTTCTTGAATTTCTTTCTTCTTCCATTCATTATTGATCTTTAATACTGCAATAGAAGTAGACTGCTAATTTTCTTATGTTCTGTGTCCAGACAAACTGCTGCAGCAGATGAATAGTCAGGAAAGGAATTCATCTACAGCAGTGTTAGGACATAAAACAAAATCTGACTCCCTCTGACTCACAGACTTCTCCTACCTGCAGTTCTCACCCCTATGTAAGGACTGTGTAAGGACTGAGACACTCTTTTATCCGACGAGAAAGGTGACCCTCAGGAAGGATGTCTCTTTGCTGTCAGTAAAGGGGAGTCTGTAATGATACAAGGGGGGGCTGAGAAGTGGTGGGCTGGGAGAAGAGAAGCTTCAACATAATAAAAAGAATGGCATCACTGTTCCCCAGCCTGGCTTTGCAAGTAAATGCCTCTAGCATCTGGGCTGCTCAAAACCCACTTTCTTTCTGCAAAAGCCAGGAAAAGAGACTGTGTTTTCCGTAAGGATATGGAATAGCTGCCGAGCTTCCTCTGGTTTTCTGGAAAGGGTTGGGAAGCCAAGTAGTGCAGTGTTTACCAGAGGTGATGTAATTTGATGTGTCGTTAACACAGGGCAGTTCTTAGATGACACAATCCATCTGTTAGCATGAAAAACAAGAGTAGTTCATACTGCACCTGGTGCAGTAACTTGATGTTGTTGAAGATATGCAGTTTTAGAGGTTACTGAATTTAGTACATTTCATCTTGTAATTTGAAATAGCATTGCAATCCTAAGGGCTGGAATTTCTTTAGCTTCATTCCTTTACTTTTTAAAGGAAATAAAATTTTGGAAGGAGTTGTAAAACATCCAGTATGGCAGCAAGACTTGACAGCCATCATGGTGGTGCAGTGTCAACTAAATTATGACATCCTGTTGACAAAGTTAAGACCTGATTAATTCCAGTGCCTTCTGACACAAACACTTTAGTTAAATACAAGTGGGAATTAACATGCACATCCAAGAACATTTATAGTTATGTTACATAAAATATAAAAAATGCCAGTATCAATGAAATTTGAAAAGGCTTTCCATGGAGTAATACTCATTGGACAAGCCATTACTCACAGAAGCCCTTGCTCTTCTCTTCATGAACCAAATTTTTTGCTTAGATAAGTTCACTACGGGTCATTAACTCAGAGGGTGGTTCAATGGAAGTGTCTCCAGTGCTGGTGTCTGTAACAGTGCTGGTTGAACAGAATCCTGTTAGAGCGCTGACAGAAACAGTCTCTTCAGGACACAACTCTTCTCATGCTTGTAATAGAATACTTGTAATCTCTTTATTCTTTTGGAATATATTGAAATCTTTGGATGATATGGACTGTTTGCTATAAGGGCTTCTTTCTCACCACACAGTATAAAGACTGTTCAGACAACTAACTCAGATGTAGGTTGCCCAACACCTGAGGTCAGATGAAATGCACTCCACCTAGGACATCTGGAAGCATTGCTAAGACCAGACTGGGGCAAATCATGCCATTGCTGAGGTAAGCATACTTCTGTGGGCAGCAGAGAAACTCTGCTGCCTGCATCACCACTCCCAAAGGCCCTGGGACATCTGGCTGGCTGCTGTCTGAAGCACAATGCTTCCCCAGGAGCAGCAACCTGGCTAACCAGTGCTCAGCCATGTCTTATGCCCAGACTTTGCCCTGTTTTGTTTGTTTGTTTTTTTTAGTTGGAGAGAAGCAACACAGACACTTTGTTTCATATTCACTTAATAAAAGAAATTCCCACTTCTGTGAAAGGAATATCTTGGTCATAGACTGACACATTTAGTGTTCTGTCATCTCCTTCCTGCAGATTGCTAACCCTCGGGAAATTCCCTCACTACTGTGCATCCCCACTGTGAAAGTGACAGGGATGGGGTGGAAAGCAACAGGGTTCGCTGTAGAGGCATCCCCACATTGTTTCTCTCAGCCTCTCTTCCACCTGGGAAGCAATAAAAACATGCTTATTCTGTGATGAAGACATTGAGCAGTCTGGATCCAGTCTTACCCCAGTTGTTGTTCTCTTATTGGAGCAGGGAACGTGTAGGTCCTGGTCCTTCTCCTCTGCACCTTCTCTGTCCTTCCAAACACTGTGTGAGAGATGTGTACAGGTCAAATCCCACCTAAGCCTTGGAGTCTGGAAGAACTGAACCACGTGCCTGAATTGAGGAATTCTCAGCAGGATCACCCTCACCTAGGAAACCTTTGCTCCCTGAAGGTTGAACTCAAGACTGAAATGTTTGTTTGCACCAGCCAGTGCTGAAAGTACTTCCATGTAGCCAAACCAGAAGGTGCAGTGTGATGCCAACTCTAAGACTGGCACAGGAGGAGGATTTAAAGCACCAGTTTAACTACTCTCCTAATTAGTGGCATCTTTATTGGAAAAATACCCTGTTGGTGCCACAGTAGACATTATCCACACTTAAGAGAAAGCTTAGTTTATAAACATATTTCACACTGAAGAGCTGCTCTCCAGTTGCTTGAGTCAGCTGGTAGCATGCAAGTTATCTATATAAAATATCAACCTACTGACAGACATAATTACTGAGTTTGTATAACAGAGGATGGGTTATATTCCCGTGTGAATCCTGAAATGACAGTTTGTCTTCATTCAGCCTGTGGTTTCCCTCACTGGGCTCACCCTGTGAAGTGGTTACATGTGCAGGATGACAGGCACAGAGGTGCTTCAGCCTCGTGGGTGAAGTGGAGGGTACCTGAGGTCTAACCACAGAGACCCAACACATCTTAGTGGGTATGTTTTTAAGCTCTCTTTTCCTATTTCCTCAAGGGATGCACAACACACTGGTCTTACCATTGCCATCAAAACAACAATGGACAGTTGCTATGGAGGCACACAAACTCCCTGGCATATCCCTAATTTGAGCTGGATGAAACTAGAGCACATGCCAGGTCAGCATATTAGATCCATGGCCATTCCAGACCAAACAGGGCAGATGACCTGGAGAGGTTTGTAAACAAGTGGAAATGCAGGTGTTCCCTAAGCAATTAAAATATGCAATTCTTAGCACCTTCAATATGACTCTGGTGAGAAATAACATCTAGATACATCAGTGGCTATTGAAATAAAATGTGCAGGATGTTATCCATCTCTGAAAACTATAACTTGACTGCTGCACAAGAGGGTACTCATGGGCAATGACACCACACACGTCCTACATGTACTTCTCACACCTTTTCCTTCAGCACAGGCTACTGGCCACTGCTCGAAGCAAAACCCTGAGATGTTTAACCTGAGTAGTCTACTTGTGCACTGTCAAAGTGTTTATTGGAAACAGCCTAACAAAATGACACAGTTAATGTGCAGCTTCTTTCCGCTTCATAAATTTTCTTTTACCATCATACAGTCCGTACATATGGCCTGGTATTCTGTGGGCCTTATGATTTGCTCCATTCACTGCACTAAACATAATGATATGTGCCTACACAGATAATTAGACAATAACACTATTTGCAAAATAAATAATATTACATGGCCTTTATCTGGGGTGAGACAATCGAATAAAGAATAGGCCTATCATAATACTTCCATCTGATAGGATAAACAAGATACAGAAAGATGTGGTAAGGAAAACAGGTCTTCATGATATAAATTTTTCAGTGCTAAAACCTGAATTCTTGCTTATTTGCTCCATTCCCAGCTTAAGTCCAAGTTAATTACAGCATTACAATAACACTCTGCAAACTGAATTTCAAAGAGCATCTATTTAAAAGTTCAAAAGTTAATGATGAATAAATCAACAATAGTTTATAGAAAAAAATAGGAAAGAATACAAGGCTGGTTTGTTAAATCTACTTCAATTTTCCGAGTTCTCCATATACTAACATCCAGTCTTAGAAAAGGGCAGGAAAAGAAATTGGCACCTTTTGGAGTTGATTATTAATTTGAATGACTTACTTCTGATGTTTTCAATTTATCATCATGTTCACCTCTAAACATTAAGTTAATCTAAAAAACAGAAACAACTTAAACCTTTCCCCCACTGCATATGTAGAAATCACAGCCACAGAGTACCATAGATGCTGGAAGTATGAACTGGAAAAAATAATAGAAAAACTTCATGAAAACAGTATTTCCCTCCAAGATGCAGATACAACTTCTGGCTCAGAAATTGCAGAAGACAAGAAATTTCAGACATTGGTGAAAGCTGGAAGGACATACACTTGGTGGCAGTGCAGTGAATACTTGTTTCTTTTCTGTGTTTGTGTGACTGTGTTAGTAACTGTCAAGTGGCTCATATTTTATTACTAGAATTTTTATTTTTTCTTAAAATTAACTACAGTTTTCTGAACTTTAGGGAGAGTCTGATTGCCTTCTCCCATTTTTTAATCACATTTTTTCCCCACAGGTCTAGGTTTCTGACCTCCACATGGATATAAATGTGGGTGTGCCTGGAACTCTATGAATAATGCCAACCTGGCAAAATACCTATTCCAGGCCCACCTACAGATTCCTTTCTGTGTTGCCTGTCTTAGGGTTTTGACTTCTTTAGTTAAGTCATACCTGTACTGAGGACCCATGTTCCTATTTAGTTAGTTAAGCACATCTCAGAGGAGTAAACTTCACTCCTTTGGATGGGTAGGGCCAGCACAGCTGCAGCATATCCAGGTATTTCAGGAGTGTCTTTGCCTCCTGAACTGCTCTAAAATTTGTTTCTTAAAATTAAGGGCTGCTCTGTGCACTGGCTCCAAGATTATGTAGGTAAGCACAGGTCCATCAGGTTTAATGGTGACAGCAAGACAGGGCTTGTCTGCTCCATTCAGTAAAGTACAGCATTGGGTCACCGTTATGAATAACCAGTGTATGGGTCATATACTGAGCAGTTTTCGACCTTCATGGTTTCCTTTACAAACTGTTCAGAATGGCCCAAATTTGTCATCCATGGTAACTATTTGGCTTTTGTCATTGATGCAATTGATTCATCAGAAAGTGCAAGGACCACATCTACCTGCCTGGAAGGGAGGAGAGCATTTCCAAAGGAACCGCAGCTGCTCGGCCCTCCCAGCTGCAAGACCCACATTGGGAAACAGGGAGCTGGAGGTGGCTGGGGCATGGGTGAGGACCTAATTCCCAACATAGGGCCCAAAGGGCTGGGAAGGAGACAGAGCTGGCATTTTAGCCTCAGCTAGCTGAATGAGGAGCTTGTTTGTCTTTTTTCTCTCCTTAAATAATGCAGATGCTCTCTTGGTGCCAGCTGCTCGCTTGGGTTAGCAGCCAGCCTCCCTGCCACACCACGCTGCCATTACCAACATGCTCCTGAGAGAAGGCTTTGCCAAAACCCACAACCAGAGCCAAGGCTTCTGCGTTTTCCTGGCCAGGCTCCTTCTGGTAAATACAGCCAGGGCTGCGTGTCCAGTCCGCGTGGGTGGGGAGAAACTGGAGCTTGGAAACAACCCGCCCTGGCCAAGCACTGACAGGAACAGCCCCCGCCACCCACATCCCACCACTGCCCCCACCACCCCCGGCCGGTTCAAATCAACGGGATTTATGAATTCCACCGGGGTGACTGCTAGCAGGGAAAGACTGCCGAAAGCGGCCGGGAAAGAGGAAAATAGGGAGTTAGAAATGAAGCATAGACCGCACTGGCAGGAAGGTATGTCTGCGTGGCCTCGAACAAAGAGCAAGTGAAATTTTTGCACGGAGAAATAAGAGATCAGCTTCATCATGAGCATGTTGCCAAAAGCATTAACTTAAATACATGGTAGGGAATCAGCAAAATTGGCAAGTCCCTGGCCAGTAAAAGGGTGTAGTTTTGTGTTACTGAGACAGCTGATGTCTCCTTTAAAACAGTGTCCTCTGAGTCACCACATTCACTGGAACGAAGGTTTAATTTAAGGCATTCTGCTGGAAATCCTAATCACAAGGGTGCATAGTCACTCTCACTTTTTCTAAAACATGTACATATATAAGTATTTTCTGCCAAAAAGCAGAGTTCTAAAGAAGAAGTTTTCAAACCAGAGTGCCCTACAGCTGAAGCTGGGACATCACCCAAGAGACAAAACTTGGCTCCAAAACAGGCAGAAGCACAACCAGGACCCCAAGCATCCACACAACATACTACTCACTGGCCTGTTGAGTGGGAATTCATTACTATAGGTCTGATGGTTTTTTTTTTGTGTGTGTGTGAACATTGATGGGGAGAAGTACAACAAGGAACCACGTGCTTTGTTTAGAAGGATGTGCATGCAGCCATCCTAGTTGTGAAGGCTCCAGCAGGCTTTAGCTTGGAGCAGTCCCAACCAGGGTGGCTGCTTGCACATCCTTCAGCTGTGCACAAGACCTTCAGATAACTCAAGAACATGCTGACAGAACACATTTGCTCCCCAAATCAGATGCATCTGATTTGAAGTATCTGGATGATCTGAATTTGGAGCTTACATAGATACAATGCCAGATAGGCCCCAAGGTCTCATTGGAACTTCAGCTGTCTGTTCATGTACCCTGCTGCACAGATATGGCTGCCACACAAAGTATTTTTCTAGACTGCTCTACCATACAAACACTGTGGACTCTGTGTCACTGTCCTAGGCACTCACACCACTGTGAAGTAGGCACACTGGAGCAGAGTTTGCCAAAAAGGTGCTCTGAGGCTGGAGTGATCAGGCTGAAGCTGTGCTATAACTTCTCCTTTCTTCGTGTTTATTGCTAGGAGTGAAAGAGACAAAGAACCCCTGTCCTGAGCTGAGTGCTTTTCCCTCAACATACCCACCCACTTTGCACAATATAGGGCATTCAGAGCCAAGGAATCTGGGATCCATCTGGCTCTGGACAAGCCTTTCCAAAGGTGCAGTTCCCTACATATTCTGGTTCTTCCCCATACTCCCAACAGTCAGAGGATGGTGATCAAATCACACAGTTTAGGATGCTGTACTGGATTTTGCAGAGATGTGGCCCCAGGCAGTGGGATGCCTCAGGCACCTTCACCCACATACAGCCACTTCTTGCTGTGTTAGACAAAGACACATCCGTGGTGTTGGTGGGTTGCAGACCTCCAAATGTCACTGAAACTAATAAAACCGATGCAATGGAGAGAAAGCATTAACATTTTCCTTGGAGTGGGTGAATGGTCGG